GTATCTTTTTCATTTCAATATTTTTAAAACTGATTTTTTTTTTCATAATATTGTATGCGTCTTAAACTGTTATGCTTCCCTTTAATTCCACATACACTGCTCCCTTGAAAATAAGAAAATGTAAAAGTCAATGCTGTGCTATATAGAGAAGTGTTAACTGAGTGTTAATGAGCTGCCACATCGGCTCCAAGCCATCTCTGTAAGCCAGCGCCATAAAATAGCGTTTAAAGGCTATCAAGTCCATTTTGTGGCTGTGAGTCTCGACTGTTGTGCAGTGAAATAGATGTCCCTATTATCTACGTGCCAGTTAAACGCTGCCAGCCTAACGTATGCATGGGAGAACTGCTTTTCTGTGACTGGGGTGCTTATTTTACCGCTCACACCTCAGCTAGGCACTGGCCTTCATCCTGACCACATCTGCAAACTGAAGAATAGCGAAGGCCCTTGGTTCCAGAAGCATGTGATGGTGGCTAATAGCCTTCAAACCTGTCTGAAAAGCTCTGTTAGCCCCCAGTGGCAGGAACATCACTTCTTCAGCTAGAAATTTGCTATGGAAATTCTGGAAACTGTGGCAGTGACATTAAAAAGAAGACTGATTTACAACCAAAGCTCTTTCCACATTGTGCCACTGGCTGCTATGTTCACAACACAGCTGTCCTGAAAAGTACTGTTGAGGGTAGCCATGCCTTTCTTCTTGAGAACCTCTTTTCTCTTTGCCTTTTCCACCAAAGTGGAAAAGGTGGCAGAAATAACTTCAGAAGACTATAAAAGTAATGTAGGGAAAGGCAGTAAAAGAAAAGAGGGCTAAAGCAGTTGCTCTTTCCAGCAAGGAAGAGGCAAGCTGTGGTTATGTGGCAGTGCAGACATTTTTAATCTATTTCCGCTCATATCCTTTATAGCAGAGGAATACCAGGTAAAAATACACGAGCCAGCTGTATCTGTCAGCTTGTGTCCAGAAGCCTCACTGGCTTGCTGAAAGGTGAGTATTTTCTTGGGCTCAGTGCCACAAATATACAACTGCACTGGTTCTCTGTGTTAGCATACAACACATCACACAGGCATGTCAGTTCTGGCATCCTGGAGATCGCTGTGCTCTGCTCTGTTGTGCCACAGAAAACAACTATTCAAGTACCAGGGGGAGCTGAAGGAATTTGTACTTGGACAGTCAGTTGGATGGATCAGGAGCTAAGCTACATCATGTGTGAGCTGATTTTTCCAAGCAACTCTGAGTAAGCAGGCATAGGTCTTCTGCGTGGGCTCTGTGACTCTCTAAATAGCCTTTCTGGCTTTACGTTAGGTGGCAAATTTTGTTCTGAAAGTATCGTTTTGTTATGAGTTCACTTTTAGTAGCCCACAGACAACTTGCCATTTAATATGCTTTTCATGTTACGCTGTTAGTGATAGTACTACTGTATTATTCTATAATAGCAGATCTGCCTCTCTTCAATGAGGTAGTTAAATGCACATGTAACTATATCAAATATTTAAACTTACATATGAAGTAGAGAAGCTGATTGAGACCTTGCTATAAAATTTGTTTTTTCTCATTTGCTGCATGCCCACGAGATAACAATCCAGATTCAAAAGGTTTGAATGCCTTTTGAAAGGGAGTTTTGAAAGAAGAGATGCAAAATATGGGATGTAAAATCCTAGAAAACTACAATTGCTGAAACTATTTTTTTTTCTTTTAGGAATAGGTAGAGTGATTTAGCCATTCCTACCCATTCTTACCCATTATCTACCCATTCTTTTAGGAAGGGGTAGAGTTTGTGTTGAGGGAACATCACCTCATTATGAAGCCTTCCCAGAAAATGAATGGCTAATCTTCTTTTAACTCTTCTAAGGAAAAATCATTCCAGGCTGGGGAACCTGTTTTTAATTCTGTGCCAGTCAGAGATTTCTTGCAGAAAACAATGACTGAAGATTTCTTGTGCACACACTGGAGAAATTGGTTTTCATCTGGAGGATGGAACATGAGATCCATTGATCTGTTTTTCAGCTCTTTAGGCTATGATTTCTTCTTACCAAGAAACTCTAATTCTCAAATGATTGTAGAATAAAAAATTGTTAAGAGTCTGATTGTGGAAAATACTTAAGTATTAGTATGTGAAACAGTTGAAAACAGCTGACTTCAAGGAAGTGCTGTTCCAAATAGGGATGGATTTCTATGTGTGTTTGGACACATTTCTGATTCAGGGCCTTGGGCTAATTTACGTAGAACATTCAACTTAATTAATCCAAATTAACTTAAAGTACGAATTCAAAATGGATTAAGCTTTATACAAAGTGGAATTAAGACTACTTCAATTTTAAAAAGTCTTTATAGGGTTAAATGCACTTTAACTAATCTGCTTTAAATTAAGTCTTCAGTTAATTTGGATTAATTTTTCCAAGTGTCTTTCTGAAAACCAGCTCAGAGTTAGGATCCAGCCTGGGAAATAGTCACAGAAATGCTTTGTATTAGAGGAATTATTGCCATGCTTAAAGATGTGCATAATGTTTGGTATGCAGTAAGATCAATGTTCTTTAGAGCCATGCCCATTTCTGCAGCATGCAGTGACTTGAAACCAGTATAAGTGTCTCATTATGAATGAGTTTTCACCATGATTGATCAGTTTATGTAGTATCAGCAAAGAATGTGTAATCAGACTGTGTTCTGACTTTACTGTTTGAATACATGAACAAACACTTGGTGACACAGACTACTGGTATCATCTCCAAGCTCATTCAAACCAAGCCTGGCAGCTATACTGCAATACTTGCCACGTATTAATTTTGCATTTCTTTTGATGTTTGTGATACTAGGATGTGTTGTTTCCACATGTTTACTAGTGATGTGTTCATTTTAAAAATAATCATTATAATTTTGCTCCCATGTTCTTGGCACAATTGATATATATTTGATATATATTGATACATATTAGTTGGACAGAAAGAATGAGGTCTGCTTCTGTCCAAGACAAATACAGAAAATGTTGCTATTGAAACTATTGAGAACCAGCTTTGTCAGCACCTCCTTTTGCAGCTATTTCCAGCTGCGGAGACAAATGACCCCAAGTATTACTTCAAATAGCCAAGAGGCCACAGACCTATCTAAGTCTTCACAAGGTTATTGATAGATATCTGCCTACAAAGATATTAAGATGTTTCTGTTTATACTTTCTTCACAAAAACATACGTACGTACACACACATGTATATGGTGCTTAAACTAATGAGCAGTAAGTACTGTTTCAAAGGGAAGTTTTTTTCAGGGTATGCCACAAAATACGAAGCTATTCTTTGAGACCCTGTATTGATAAGCCACTCAGTGCTGAAAAAATGTGGAGTGATATCCCACTTACAGGTGATAGTAAAGAGATTATGATGTTTCTGAATTTCTAGAGCCTACTGAATTCTCACCCCACAACCCTGTAGGACATACGTATTTAACTTGGCTTACTTAAATGGAATTACACAAGGCTACAATTTGCCACATTACTTCCTTTAAAAAGTCTGAAATGCTCACAGATGTCATCCTACCTTTTTTTCCCTCTCTAAGTGAGGAACAGTTTTACTCTTGTGGATTTTGAAGGCCTTTTATGAAATTGATGGTATAGAGGAAAGGTTTTTATAAAGCCAGGGTCCTTTGTGTTGCACTGGTTTTGATTACTGTCTATGTTTTGAGACAGGCTTCATGGTGAGTGACTCGTTTAAATGCTACCTTGTATTTTAGTATTTCATTTGTTGCCTTTAAAGGAAGGGAGATGTCCATAGGAACTGCTATTAACATCCTTTACTGTGCTCCTGAAGGTTGCCTTCCATAAGAGAGATTATTGATTGTGACTCTTTGAAGGAGAATTGGCCAAAAAATAATCCTTCTTGACAGGCTTTCTGCTCGGGATAGGAGCTGAGAGGGGGCAGTTTCACAAAAATAGCAAAAACAGTTATAAGTGAATCAGAATTTATTTCAGTCTCATGAAGGAGTTTCGGGATTACACGGTTCTCATACCACTTTGCTGTGCAAAGGCTGCTTCCTGCTGCAGGGCGGTGTAGGAAAAGCTGCTTTTATTCGTATGAGGAGACTTTTGCATCAGCAAATGAACAATATCACAGCTCTAATGTGTTAGCCTTTCAGTAGCTTGACATGGGAAAGAAGGAATTAGAACAGTGTGTTAAAGGACGAGGTCTGCTTTCTTGAATCTCAAACGGTGGTAGATTTGCAGAGTAGGCCTGTGAAGCAATGTGCAGAGCACGATGTTCATTTTCATATGTCAGTACGTGTCTGCGCTGGAGACTGTCTTTCAGGATCATTTAGATGAAAAGATTGTAGTCAGAGCTCTTCCTTCAAAAACACATGCTAAAAATAGTGGCAGGTACAAGAGGGTTTTTCTTCAAAGGACACGGTTAGAGATTGCCAGAGCGGTGAACAAAGCTGGTTCTCTTGAGACAAGGAGATACAGCATCCTAATTTCTCAACACAGTGTGTATTTATGGAATAGCAAAATCGGGAGGCACTGTGGAAGTAAAACTCTGACCTCTGGCTTCAGGAGAAGGCTGGTCCTGCAGTAAGTAAGCATGGTGCTGCTGGTTTCCACAGGCTTATAAACAATGCTTCACATCTTAACCTTCTTCCCTCTGTCCCTTGCAAATATATGCCATGGATATATGCACGACATATCACAAGCTATTTTAAGCCTTTCGTGACACCAGCAGAGAGGAGGAGGAGGACGTCAGGGAAATGTGGAGGTGTATTTTGTTCAAATTCAGTTTATATAGCTCCTGTGAAAATTACATACTGCTGTGAAGAGTGGACAACTCAGAACACCACTCCGAAGCCCTGGGAAAGGTTCATCTCTACGCTTGACTCCATGGTCCTGCACTGGTAAATGTGACTCCACTGGAGGACTGTACTGCAGGAACCATTGCTTTCCCAGAGCAGATCACAAAAAGGTCTGCAGTGATAAGCCGTTGTTTGTAGGCTCTGAGGCATTTGGGCTTCAGAATTTGGAACAATGATCCTCTTGGCGCAGAAAACAGAGAGTGTGGGCTCCGTCCATCATCCTTCCTGTGTGAGGATGGGTTTCCAGGAGTTCCCTGAGTGATACCAAGAGATTCATAACTCAGAAAGCTTGAGAGATAAGATGGGTGGCATTTTCTTTGTAAGCAAGCACTTGTTACCAGGATTGCATACTATTAATTTTATCACAGATTCTTCTGAAGCAGTTTTTTATGAAGAAGCATTTGTATGGACACCCGTGTTATAGATAAGAAACTGTGTGGTGAACACCACTGGGTAGTTAACAAAAAATGATTCATTCCCACAGCACTGGCAAGTGCAGAGATTTCCAAGCACAGAGGTTTTTTAAGGTAAGTGTCTGCTTCTCACTTGTGTTAAGCTTGGTTAATGTTTATCCTCACTCTGCACTGGAGCACAATGGGGGGAAGCAGATGCTGTGCATGTATCTGAGCACTTCTTATTCTGGGCACACCAAAGAGAAAAAGCCATGAATGTTAGTAATGACAGTTCACTTCCAGCAAAGCTTCAGTGTGCTATTGTGTGTCTGTTCTTTTTCCGCAAGTGCCTGCTTCACCTGCCCTAACACAATGAATTTTTAAGTTATGATTTGTGAAATCTTTAATCTTATTTCTTTCTTATTCTTCGCTACAATTCTCCACTTATTCCTTCGGTAACTCGTAGTTTTTTTTTTCTGTAAAGGCCATTTTATTTCAGATAAATAGTCCCAAAGCCCTGTCCTGTTTAACCTTTTTCCTCTCCGTGATGACTTTCTTCTTTTCAGCCTTATTGAAGAGAGTGAGAAATATGTTACAAGAGTAAAAGGAAAGGCTCATTCACCAAATCAGGGTTGAGAAAGTCAGTATGTAACTGTGGTGGCAGGGGTTTTCTCCCAGACTCACAGTAAGAAGTAAGAATAGCAAGTATTGTTGTAGCTCAGTTAGGGAGCTAAGTCTTCAAGAGGGAATAAGCAAACAAGTCAGAAATTACTGACTGTAATTTTGCCTTCTGGTCTAAGTACAGGTCACTTGTGGTTTTCTCCTCATCCCATTTTCTATAAATGCATAATTCATCAAGAAATTAGACTCTTCTCCACTGCTGTAACTTCCTTCTGTGCTGGCTTTTCTCCAACACCTTCTTAAGCATTCAGTGTTTGTGGCATAGTGACTGTATCTATGTTGTCACATGGATTTATTATTAGAAGTCATAGAATCATAGAATCACAAAGGCTGGAAAAAATCCCTAAGATCACCAACCAGCAGCCCATCACACCATGCCCACTGCCCATGTCCCTCAGTGCCACATCCACACGGTGCTTGAACACCTCCAGGGACGGTGACTCCACCACCTCCCTGGGCAGCCTGTGCCACTGCATCACTGCTTGTTCCTTTCATAGCATGAGTTCTTGTATGGCATAAGTACTTCCTATTAAACATCAATCTGTGATCAAGACTGTGACAAGATATGTTTACAGAAAGAAGAAAGACTTTCTTTCGGTGAAGATTTCTGTGTGATTTTTAATTTTTTTTTCTCAAAAATATATTTGAGACTTTCAGTCACTGGTAATGAAATTACAATCTACTTGTCTCTTAAAATAAAGAATAGAACAGCCCCCTTTTTTACCTTCCTCTAACAGATCTAGTCTCTTTTCATGTAGTTTTCCTGAAACGAAGTCATTGCTTCAACATTTCTGATATTTGGGAGTGTTCCCCTAGAGCTACTTCAGAGCGTTTATGATAAAACTAATACTAGAATTATACTGACATATCGGAGGAGCAAGTGGTGAATGTTAGGTATGCAGCTATAAAATTTTAGAATTATTGCATGTACATTGTATGACAATATTGTATGACAATATGATAACAATATATTGTATAGCACTTGTTATATATATATTGCTATGTCATTTTACTACATTTACACAACATTTGTGTAGAGATGATAATACCTATTTTATCCTTGGATTTTCATCCTCTTTGTGTATCACATATTGTGCAAACCCTGCTTCTCCCTGTTGTCATTTATACTTGGTATTAAATATAATCCTGACTTCACTGAAAATAAGATTTTTTTGCTCAATTTTATTCATGTGTTTAAAATCTGTTTCCATTTAGACTCAGGATGAAAGCTGAACTAAAATTAGTTTCTCAGTTTTAGGACTGGCCCAGGCTGCCCAGAGAAGCTGTGGTGCCCCATCCCTGGAGGCTCAAGGCCAGGTTGGATGGGGCCCTGGACAGCCTGAGCTGGTGGGGGGCAGCCCTGCCCACGGCAAGGGTTGGGGTGGGTGGGCTTTGAGGTCCCCTCCAGGTCAAACCATGCTGTGCTTCCATGAAAATATTTCAAATTTAAACGTCCAGTTTCAAAATGTGTTTTTTGGAGATTTGAAGTTGTGGGTCTCAGTGATTTGGTTTGCACTTGGTGAAGGAAAAGGACCCGATGACGCCTGTATCACTGTGATATCATTCCGCCCATCAGGCTGTGGTTCCCCACAGGAGATGCTGATCAGGTATCAGACATGCAGAATTTTTGTTCCATGCTGTGCTCTCAGCTGTGTGTACAGACTGAGTCTAAAGAAAATGGTCACAATGTAAGCCAGCTCTGTGCCATCAACGTTGCCAGAGGGACATGTTTCTCTCATCTTGCTTTCCTTTTGCTTCCCTATGTCAGTTGGCAGTTGTGGAGCGTAGATGGATGTTCCACAGAAGCAGAGGGAATTGGAGATGCAGGCTGTGCTCCTCATCTGGACCCATGTTATTCCTGAAGGGTGGGAAGCAGGGAAAGGGAAAAGCCTCCCAGAGAAGCAACAGTAAGGAACTGCCTTAGAAAAGCCAACTCTCTGAAGTTTGGAAGTTTAGCAAATATTTGTTTTTGTATCTTGAGGCCAACGATGTTTATAATGCTTTTCTTATCCTGAGACCAAAGGTGTTTGTGCTTTGATTTAAGCATTCATTCTAGTCTATATTTAAGCCACTACAGAGTAAACTATCACACAAGCAGGGCTCTTGGAAATGCTCATGTGTATCCACCCTCTGGCTTCTATTTTATCACAGGCAACAAAGGATTGAAATTTAATATCAGATAAGCTGCAGAACTGGCCCAGGGGGTTAGTGCTGTCATCTGGGTTCTGAGTGCTGGTTTCAAGATTTCATGGGGCGGTAAAGGACTTGGTCCAGCATGTTCCTCAAAGGCTCAGAAAGCCCATCCCACCACCGTGCCACATCCAAAGAGCAGCACAGATAGGCTTCATAGGGAGCCTCCTCCTGACTGCCACAGCCTGGGCAGATTGCTGTAAAGAGAAGCCTTTGGGAAAAACAAGCCTTTTCCAGCCAGATGGAACCTATCAAACAGCAACGAGCTTGGCTCTTCCACTGTGTCCTGCTGGAAACCTGAAAGCTGAGAAGATCCATTTCCCATGCGCAGCCCATCTGCCTTTCTGAGAAGCTCTAGAGCATGAACACGGGCTGCAGCCTGTAAGATGCTTTGGGGTTTATTGGCCTTAAAGAAACCCCACTGACTTCAGCTGTGATGCCAAGTTAGTGCTGTACTCTCAAAACCTTTTGCAGATCTATCTCCGCATTCCTGAGATGGTAGCCTGGTCTAAAGGTTGTAATATGCATGTGTCAAAAGTGAACTGTTTTATAGGGCATCTAGCACCACTAATGGTGTGAGTGAGTGTCTTCCTCTATCACGGAATGCTTATTTGTGAAACAGACAATATTTAGCTACATCAGAGAGTGGGTTTGTAAATCCAACCGTATTCATCATAGAATCATTAAGGTTGGAAAGACCAGTAAGGTCATCTAGTCCAACCATTAAGTTAGAGAGCGGTTTGGTGAGGATGATAAAATACCCACAAGCACTGCAGAATCTTGTTCAAAGAAAGCTTGTTCTTTTCCTGATTAAGCTGCATGTTCACAATTTTTTAAATCCAAAACAACTATCAACTCTGTACTGCAGTTTCAGAGCTTTATTACAAGGGAAGGCTGAGATTCTCTTCTGTGATAGTTCATTCATAGGTGATAAGGAGAATATGGGAGGAGGCAAAGGTTGCCTCATGGTAAGATCTTTGTCCAAAAGTACCCACTTTCTCTCCACTTCCCCTGAAATTACGATCTAACTTTTTGAATTAAATTAGTATTAGAGTAGATGTAGTCATTCTTTGCCCTCAGCAGCACTGAAAAGTTGCACAAATAACTATGGCAGTTGTGAGGTTCACCACTGTCATCCTATCTGTAAAAGTATGATAGTATGATTGTAGGTGTAATTGTATCTGAATGTGGCATCATTGTTCCACGTCTCCTAAGGGAACATCTATATCAGAACAAACCACGTCTGAATTCCAACGCAACTCTCCAGCAAGTGAAACTTACTGCTTTTCAAGTCTCTTGCTTGAACGTAGGAAGGTTGGAAGCAAAAGGAAGAATTGTGCATTGGTGCAGCCCTTTGCCATCACAGAACTGACATTAGGAGTTACACCACTGACACTGTATCTCTTTACAACTCAAGCTGTAAGTCTCAACTGGTTTTATCTTACTTGTAATTATCATAGATTAACCTTTAAATGGTTTTTAAATGTTTCATACCAATAAACATTTAAGCAATTGCTGACAAATTAAATGGATACCAGCCATTCATGAACTGGATTAGAAGTACATGTCCTGGCTAGAAAAGGTGATATTTGGTTCTTTCAGATCAAGATTCATTTGTGAGCTACAATCAGACATGATTCCTCTAAAAAGCAGGCAAATGCAAAAGTAGCACCAACCGTCCCAAGCATTCAGGCTGAGCTCTTGAGCAGCTGGATGAATTGAGCAGCTATTTTTGAGCACATGCACCAGCTGTAGGCGTGCTGCTGTCTGCGTGAATTTGGAGACTGCTGACATAACCAGCAGAGGAGAAAATAATGGGCTGTGGAACCAGCTCACTAGGAGATGAAGAAAAGGGAAGGCACGCATTACATCCCCTTACTTTACTGGTGCCAGTTTTCAGTCTCTGTATGCTCAGTCTATCTGTATATGCTCAGATTGATTCATATGCTAACTGTCATTTTGAAGATTTCCCTTGCTATCTGTTCCTGTAG